TTGATTAGCACATTCACTGGCGGGAACAAGTTGGGTAGGGGTGATTGGTTAGTCCAAGAGGGGGATTCCTTTGAACTTATTGGTTTAGGCCATGAGGGGTGTACGTGCTAAACTACATGGTTTCCCATCATGTTATCAACCACCATAAACTACTAGGGGGTCATCTGGCATCCCAGGTATTTTCCCTGTCTTATGCTGATTGGAGGTTGCTAGGGGGTTGCTATGGGTCCTCACCGAGCCTAACTGAGTCAGGGACACCTGGTGCCACAGATCTCTCCTGTTATTTGCAGACAAACAACTCAGCAGGGTGGGTATGTGCCTAGGAGTGCTCTGTGGGTTTTTCCCAGGACAAGGGTCATGCCCCCTTCCTTAGGACAGGCCTTGAGGTAGAAGCTGGTTTCTCAAAAATGGAGTCACATCAGTTTCTCAGTTCCATGGGCCTCGGTTTCTCCATCCATAGGGCTGGGGTACAAGAACACCTTACAAAGGAATTGCCACGAGGAATGAAGGGCTGGGCTAACCACATGGCTCAGAACTGGGCCTCTTTCTGACCTTTTAGCAGACTCCAACTTCTCTCTTCAAATAGATCCTGGATCCCTCCAGGGAAGGGGAACACTCGCTCTCCTTTGAATTCAGTTTGGACTGGTGCATATGTGGGGTGCTGAATATACTCCCATATGAACCCCTTCTTCACTTCTACAGGATGGATTAGGGTCCCCCTTTCTCTGATTCTTATGTTGAGGTCCTAACTCCCAGTGCTCAGATTGCAGATGTAATCAGGTATTTTAAGATGAGGTCATACTGGAGTGGGGGCCCCCTAAACGACATTACTTGTGTCCTAATAAATGAGGAGATCTGGAGACAGATATGCACACAGCAAGAACAGCAACTGGAGTCAGCGACTGGCGTTGCGCTGCCATGGCCAGTGACTGGGAATGCAGGACAGGTCCTTGCTGGTGCCTTGAGAAGGTGCCTGACCCGACCAACGCCTTTGAGGAGGCCGGCCAAGCTTTCCACATTGAGCAGAGTGACCCCCAAGTCTGCACCTGGGGAAAGGCAGACACAGAGCCCTGGAGCTCCTTCACGGTGACAGGGTCCTGAAGGGTGGAACTGACTGGCCAAAAGGCAGGAGGTGACAATGCGGGGTCGGTTTCCTTGGCCGCTGTCTTGGTGTGTTTGGGCGACTGTGACAAACTACCACAGACGGGGTGCTTTATTAACCAAAGAGACTTACTTCTCAGTTTGGAAGCCTGGGACGTCCAAGGGGAGGACCGGCAGATTCTGTGAGTGCAGGGTGCTTCCTGCTTCACAGACAGCCATCTTTTTGCTTCTCTTCACACGGTGAGGAAGTTCTGTTCTCGGGGAGCTAATCCCGTTCATGATGGCTCCACCCTCATGGTCTGATCACGTTCCGAGAGCCCCACCTCTTCCTACCTCACACTGGGGTTAGGGTCTCAATATATGGATTTTTTTGGCAGGGGGGGCGGAGGCACACACATTCCCAACATGCTAGTGAACCCAATATGCATTTTACAATATAAGATAAATGTTTTACAAATTATGGTGTATATTCTATATCTTAAAATACACCACTGACTCATTAGTAAGGAGAAGCGTGCTTACTAAAATTGAGTGTATCCTTTGTGTCTCTGGAGTGGTCTGAAATCACATGCAGAAAAATCCACAGTGCTCATGCCGTATGAGCTTGTGGACTTTATAAAATCTGCAACAAAGAATCTCTATGGTGATGGCTACAGGCTGACACCATCAGCCAGGGAACCCAACTCCCTTGAAGAGGGAAGAGCAGAACATAACAAGGGGGGCAGGAGCCCGGACTCTGGTGCCCTCTGGCTGTGTCTGATCCTAGCTCTGCAGCCACTTGGCTGTGAGACCTCCGGAAACTCTCCGCCTGTTGCCTGGTCTCCTCGTCTGTAAAATGAGAATAATGATCCTGTCCACAGCCTAAGACTGCTGTGAAGTTCCGTGACAATCTCGTCGAGGTCCTAGGAGAGGCCCCTACACGGAGTCATTGCTCTGTAGGTGTCGGCTGTCACTGGTGCAGGGGCCTCCACTCCCCGCCCCCAGAGCAGGGGCGTCCTCCTCTCACCTTCTCCACCTGTTAAGGGAGGGGGCTGGTGGATCTGATGGCTGAGACCCAGCTATCTTTGGGGCCATGTCTTTACCAATGGAGGGAATTTATGCAAAGAGTGGACGCTGTCTGTCCTACATGTCTGGAGCCGTCCCCAGCCTTCCTTGGAGTCAGCGATGGCCAACATGCAGACCAACATGGAGAGCCGAGTCACATGTTAAAGATGGCAGAACTCTGACACAAAAGGCATTTGGGTCTCTGAGTAACTGTGGGGAAGGCAGCCTGGAGCCCACAATCTGAGAAAGAGATTTTATTAGCTTCTAAAATAACAAGAACTTGCTGAACCAATCCAGTGCTGTTTTGGCCCACAATCAGGAAAGACCTTTAATCCTTCCCTTTTCCATCCGTAAGAGGAGTCATAGATCCTTTCCTGCTCCTATACGCAGGGTCAGGCCCTGAGGTGTCCTCTGAAGGGAGAGGAATATTTAATTCAGTGCCTGTGTGTTGCTGGCACCTGTGTTGAAGGGGGAAGCTGCCAACTTCTGTGCTATTCTCCCATTCAGTTTTGGTCACAGCTGTGGAGGGACATTCTTGGTCCAATAGCAGCTTCTCTCAAGAGCCCACGGTGCTCTTCCATTTCCCATCCCCTGTGTATCCTTGACATTCCTGACATTGGTGGGAGACCATTCATCAAGCAGGTATGCTGTGTTAGTCAGCTTTCCATTACTGTAACAAAATAACTGAGGTCATTAACTTACAAAGAGGAAAGGTGTATTTTGGTTTACTTTTAGTTTGGGAGATTTCAGTCCATGATCCAATGGACCCATTGCTTTTGGGTCTGTGGTGAGGCAGCTCATCATGGCAGGAGGACACGGCAGAGCAAACTTGTTCACCCCATGGTGGTGAAGTGAAAAATAGAAATAGAGACTTGGTCCCATGATCTCTGTTGAGAATATGCTCCCAGTGACCTAAAACCTGCCATTAGGCCCCTACTTCCTAAAGACCACAACTGAGAGCACCCCCAATTCCTAAAGTCCCTACTACCTCCCAAGAGCACCACCTGGGGAAAAAGCCACGAGCACGTAGGCCTTTGGGGACCATTTGACATTCAACCGTGCACATGGCTGTCCTGGAGGTGGATGCTCCCCTCCACCAGGGGCGGTGGGAGTGAGTGGATGCACACTTGCTGATGGGCTGGGGTGGAAATTCGAAGAGCCCAGATGCACAGAGCAGGGAACTCGATTATGTGCCCAGTGTGGGTTTCTCCTGCTCCCTCCCATCACCTGCTTCTCTCTGCTGCTTCTGGAGATCTGCCCACGAACAGGCTGCCCACACCCCAGACTTGCATTTGGAGAGAATTCAAGTGAAGACAGGCGGGGACAGCACGTCCTCACTCTGGCCTCCTATCTAAACCTTGTCTCAAGTTCAAATGGACCTCGTCCTTTGGCAATCCTTGAGGACTTCAATAAAGTGGGTTGCTTGCTTCTGTTTGCAGTTCCTCGTGTTTCTTCCCCATCGCTTAGACTCTGGTGGAGATGGATGGCAAGTTTGTATGCCTCATAATCTCTAACAGATCTTACACCCAAGAAAACCCAACGATCACAGCCAAGAGCACCCCGTAAAGAGTTCTAACTCAGTGGTATTTACTTCATTTGAAGGATTTTTGCTATACACTATAAGTGAACCCAAAGAGGTATTCAAATGCATTAAGACACCTCATTGGACTTGAGAATATGACATCTTGACATGCTAATAGGCCAGAGTACCTCATCTCCCTCAGGTCTTTGCAAGATGGCGGCACGGTGTCCCACTGTGCCAGAGAGGTGCTTGTCAATCTAGGTGCTCAGGGTCCATATGGTGTATGTGGGAGTTTGTTCCTTCATTAAAAAATCCTCTTTTGTAATTAATTGGAATAAGAAGTGAACCTTTACCCCATTATTGTCTGTCATGTGCCTCTTGCCAATTAGCATGGTTGCACTTCACAGCTTAATTTAGTATCAGTTGTGAAACTTGAAGAAAGATTGCACCATCTTTGAATATTAATGCGATTTTGTTTCCCCAGGGCATTAAGCTTTCTGACACGCTGGACTCTCTCCACTTGGTAGAGAGTTTTTGGATTCTCAACTCAAATAAAGCTTCACTTACTTGTACCATCTTCCAATTTTATGGTGAAAAAGAGTCTCCATTCTTAACATTGGCCTACTTCTCGTTGAGGAGTAGAGGGACTGCCAAAAATCCTGAGATAAAAATTCTGGGCTGGCTTAACAGCCCTTGGAGTCTTTCCCAGACAGTGCTTCCTGAGATTTCCTGTAAGGTGGACTGATGCATTTTAGAAACTCCTCAGAGTAGAAAGGCCTTAGTGAGATGAAGGCTTTGGCACCGGGTCTGGTACCTGGGAGGGGATCAATGAATTTCTCTTTGGATGTAACGGGTATACCCATCGTCATCGGGCAAGGAACTTTTGTGCAAATCTCTGAGAACTGATTGTGTGACCCCAGAACTTGCGAGGGCTGGGTTATGGGACCTCCCACCTCTTTGCACCCTGGGAAATCTGTTGACATGGTCCAGTGTTCCTTCATGGGTAGGATGTGGAGGCTCCAAGTGTGCTTGGCAAAGAACCGGAAGTTTCCCAGGAGGCCTGACCATTCACTGACACAAGTTTGCTCTCCTTCAACAAGACACCCCACATTTCCCAAAATAGGAGGGGCCAACCCATCGAAAAGGGCCCTGCGTGATATCCAAGGGGACTTGGTTCTCTCTCCTTGATCACTGGGCTGCTTCTTGCCCATTGGAACCTTCTTGAATGTGCATTCTGGAGATGGTTCCTGTTTGTCTGAGCCCACCCTTTTCAACTCTCCCTCATGCGCCGTTTGAGCTGAGCGTGGGTGGTAACCATTCCATATTCTTCCAGGCAATGTCTTCTGCCAGCATCAGTAGGAATCTCTGGACCTGGCAGCCGGAGTCTCACCGTTGCCTGTTTCTCTCTACCACCTCCTTCTAAACATCCCTCGTCCACACCAAGTCCACTCACTGGGGGACGTCCACTGCGTTGGAAAGCCCCGCAGGCCACACCAGATGCATCCATAAGCTAAGTCTCCATTTGTTACTGTGACCGAATCCCCAGCCTCCCTTCCTACTGACTTCTCAGTCTCTCCCCTGATCCCCTGATCCCCCTCCCACAAGGGCTTATTCACTTGTTTGTTCATCAAACATTTATGGACCACTGGGTTTTGTAGAGTCTGAGATGAATCAGGCAAACATCATGCCCTCAGGGGGTTCATAGACCAGGGAATAAGAAAGGTGCATGAACTGAAAATCATCATCTGTGTGATAAGAGCTATAAAAGTGGGAACCCCAGGAGTTATGGGAGGGAAGAGGGGCTCTGGCCAGGGGTTCAGGGAAGGTCCCCACAGCAAGTGTGATTTTAAGGGCAGAGTATTCAGGGATAACTAGCAGCAATGGTGGGGTGGGGGGAGTGAGTTCCTAGAGCATTTTGTGCCTGTGAGATATAAGGCTGGGAGATAAGGATGATTCAGATTTGGAGAGTTTGAACTTCATGAAAAGTGTCTGCACAGCAGAAAGAACTTGGACAGAACTTTAGCCATTCAAAAGCCCTAGAAAACTCCTTCGCCAAGGGGAAATTTTCTCCTCTGGTATTTGGTCTCTGTTTAGGAGGCCTGATTGGAGGATGTCTTTGTACATTTTGTGTTGCTGTAACAAAATACCTGAGGATATTTGGTTGGCCCATGATTCTCTCAGCTGGAAAATCCCAACATCCTGGTGCCAGTCTTGGTGAGGGCTCCCTGGCTGTGTCACAGCATGGTGGAGAGGCAGAAAGAGAACTGGCCCCACATACCGAGACAGGAAGCACCAGAGCTGGCAGGGGCCAGGCTCATCATTTTTATAAACATCCTACTCTTGTGGGAAATAATCCACTTCTGCAGGACCCAACCCATCCCATGAGACTAGCATTAATCCACTCATGAAGGTGGAGCCCACGTGACCTAATGATCTCCCACTGGTTCCCTGCCACCACACTGGGGACCAAGCTTCTCACACACGAACATGTTGAGGGACAAGGCAGATCCAAACCTTAGCCAATGGGCTAAGCCTGGATATGGGTCAGAAGGTCTCGTGATGATGAGAATGTAAACCTAAGCAGGGGCAGGAAGCCCAACCCAGAAGGTGCTGGCTGAGGATTGATTGGTTGGTCAGATCAGGGGGGACGTAGGGAGCAGCTGAACATGGGGGTGAAGACAACAGCAGACTCTTCGTTGGCTCTAAATTGATGCTGGTGGTTGAGCCTTAGAGAGCTCTGTACCTCAGGTTCCTCCGCACGTTCCCTTTCTGCCTTCGAGGGCAGTTCTCCTCCTCTTCCTCCCACCCCACCGTCAATAAAGCTCGCACCGAGCCCCTTTCCCAGGTGAGCCCGCCGTCTCCTTGGGCCAGGCTCGGGACTCCTGGGAGCCACCAATGTTACCGTGTCCTTTCTCTAAGGCTCTGGGGCTCACCTCCTGCACAAATATTGATTCTTGGCCTGATTAATACTGCTATTTATATTAACAATGCATTTGTTCACCAAAAAAATAATTAGCACAAGAAAGCTGAATATTATTAGGGGCCTCATTAATTTCACCAAGTTTATTTAAGTGACAGCAGGATGTCAAGTCAATAATGAGTACTAATTAATAAACACATCTGAACACCTTGAAGCACACTCGAGTAGGGGCACAGAAACCTAAGTGGGGCGGGGGCTGGTTTCTGAGGAGCACAGGGGATACCTCCTCTTTTGAATGGAGGGTCCCAAGTGTGATGACCTAAGGTCTGATGTGCAAGGCAGGTGGCCTTGCTGAGTTATGCAAAGGGCTGACGGTGGCCAGTCTGGGGTCTGAAGAGCTAGCATAAGGCCATTAGTGGCCTGAGACTCTGCCTCATGACTCCTCTCACTGAGGAAGCATCGAGGACCTGGGTGGCTTTTGGAACCAGACCCTGTTTTGACACCAACCTCACCTTCTGGAGAGGCTGTGGATTGGGCATGAGGGGCTCTATTGGAAGAGCTCGGTGACCTGCTACGTCCGGGAACCTAGAAGTGCCCCCTCTGCTCCCTTTGTGGCCACCTCTGGATAGAGACCAAGTGCGTGGATTCAGTGTGGCACGACCGCGGCCTTCCTGAGTCTTGGCCACCGTGACTGCCCTGGCATAGCCCTGGCTCTTTCTTCCTGCATAGTCCCCGACAAATTATAAATAGGCAAACTGTAGGCGTGGCGTACTGCGCTTTAGAACATGGCTCTGACTCAGGGATGAGCCTGCCTCTTACATGGTAGCTCAAGATGAAGCCATTTCCGCCCTGGCCCACACCCACACTGTCTTTCTGACCCGAATGGCAGGATCCATCTGTTCCTGCTGCCGCCCAGAACCTGCTCTGCCAGTCAGTCTGCGTTCCTGGGCCTGTCTGCCCCTCTCCTGGGTCTCAGACCACCCGGGGCCAGTCCCCACACACTGGGACCAGGCTGCTGCAGAACACCCAGGGCCCCTTTGCTTCCTTGGCTCAGCAGGGACAGGCCTTGAGCCCTCCGAGGCGTCTTCCCTGTATGTGCCTCTCACGTTAAAGCTGCTGTTCAGAAGCCCTGGGAACCTGTAATCGCCTCTCAGAGGTGGTTTTATTCCTTTAACCTCCTCCCTGCTCCCTACTTAGAGCTAACACGATTGGCATGTTTAGGCAGAATCCGCTGGCTTCAAACAAAGCAAGCTGTTCTGAGTACACAGCCCGGAGCCACCGCAGAGGACACCAGAGCTCCAGCTATAAAGGAGCAGGGCTCTGGGGCATCCCGCCTCTGAGAGCCAGGGGCAGCGGGAGTGCTGGGTCTGGGGCAGCTCCAGCCAGTGGCCCCAGGAAGTGCGAACCTGGCTTTCTAGTGCCGCCTCCGCCTTCTGTTTGGTTGTTGGGGAAATTGATCTTTCAGATATTTTAGCTGCATGGGTGGAAATCCGCACGTGCAGTGTTTTGCTAAGACCCAAAGCCTTCAGGGACTGTTTTGGGAGCAAGTCAGAGGCAGCCTCCACCCTCCCCAAGGGGCTTCATCTCTGGGCCAGACCTGGGCTGGTGAGGTCTCCTGGACTCCTTGCAGTCACTCTGGGAATTGAGAGCACCCCCATTGTCAGGGTGAGTAAACTGAGACTCTGGCGAGTCTTGGTGGGCGTGTCTGGGACGAGTCAGTGGCAGGGGACACTTGTGAGACCCTGATGGTACGCAGGCAGGGTGGTGGCTGCCACGTAGCTTCTGTGCTGGCCTTTCCTGGTTCTGTTTGAGAATTAGCAGAACAACATGCTCACTCAGGGGTCCCTGGTGACAAATTACGAGCCTTGGCATAGAGTGGGGGCCAGTCAGTGCTGCTGATTGAATCAAAGAACAATGACCACAGGGGTCCCAAGGTCCAGATGTGTCTTTCTAACAGTAGCCCAGAGGCGACTACTGCCTAAGGACAGCAAGGGCAGACTGGCAGCCCACAAGTGAGCGTGGGTTGCTGCCCCCCCACCCCCACATTGCTGAGCACCTCTGCCCGCAGGCCTGTGCTGGGCTCTGGATGCCTGTGGCCTCCGTCTCCCTCACAGCGGGCATGCAGGGAGGGCAGGTTATCAGTGTTTTCAACAAGAGGAACCTGAGACCCTGACAGGTCTTGCTGAAATTTATATAGGGAGTGAAAAATGAAGCCATATGTCTTCCCCCAATCCCAAAAGCCAACAAGCCGACTGTAGGCTGAAAAAATCCCAAGTGGAAAGAAAATGAATGTCACACACCTAACCTACCAGGCCCTGGAGCTCAGCAGCACAGAACGCGGTGGAGTGTGTGTGGTTTCCCTGTGACCATGGGGTGGACGGGGGCTACAGCTGCCTGTCATCTCTATAGTATCATTCCCTATACAAATACCCTGGGGAAGCAGCCAGGTTCAAAATTCAGAGTCCTGATGCCACTGAATGGGGCTGGCTTGCAAACCATCTGGAAGTGGAAAAATACTGTGAAACCATTGTGAGTTGTAGACTGCTTGTGCCACAGGGAAGGGACAAGTGATGGGACAGAAAGGACCAGAGGACAGGAAGGCAGATTCGGGACCTTGTGGGTGGGGCGGAGTGTTTCTAGCCCGGAGGCCTGGATCAAAGCTGGGTGCTGGATCAGACAGGGGGCTGGCAGCTCCTGACGATTTATGAAAAGAGAAGGAATCATGGATTTCTACTGGGAAATACTGGGCTGAGAAGCGAGGTCAGGCTGGAAATAAGTCAGGATGAGTTGAGGGCTCGTGTGGCAGCCAAGCTGGGGAGTGTGGTTGGGTTGGTTGGAAGTTAGCAAGATGGCAGGATCCATCCAGCTCAGGAATGAGTGTGGGGGGATCTGCTCTCTGTCTGTGATGTCCTTCTCTTTCCACAGGGCTCAGTCCAAAGGTCTGGACGAAAGGCAGACAGCACACTGCTTGGACCCCTCTCTCCCTAGTTTCTCTGGCTGTCCCAGGCACCTGGGCTTCAGGCTTCTGCAAAGACAAATCACACAAGTAGGCACTTGTGTTGTGACATCTCCCACAACCTCATACTGGCACCAGACACTCCCCCGTCTGAGGGTCTTTTGAGCATGGGAAGATCTTCATTTACACTCAGGATGAGCTAAGGGACACATGGAGTTTTGCACCTGGGTAGAAAGAAAGCCAGTGGCATATTCAGGGCAGGATAGTGGGAGGACCCACCTTGGATGACAGTGATAAGGGAATTCATTTTTAAATTCATAGAGAATTAAAAAAAAACAACAATAAAATTTACAGGAAGTTGGCCAACTTTTTATTATCACCTTGCACCGGCAATGGTAAATCAGTTGTAAAACTTCTGTTGGTCTAATTTCCAGGTCATTGTTCCAGTAACTTCTGAGCTTTAATAATGTGATATGTCAATATGTAATCTTCATATTATTATAATTATCATTATCTAATGCTAAACATTGCTTTCTATGAGGAAGTCACATTAGAGAACTCCCGGCTTTGGAGTTTGTTGTGGTTAAGATATGACCTGTTCCCCCAAAAGCTCATGTGGCAAGGCAGGAAAGTTCAGAGGTGAAACTGTACAAGAGCCACAACCTAATCAGTGGAGTAATCCATTTGCTGGATTAATAATCTGAATGGATTACTTAGAGTACTGTAGGTGGGGTGTGGCTGGAGGAAACAGGTGAGGTCGCATGTCCTTGGATTATGTCTTGTCCCGGCTTCTCTCCCCCTCTCTCTGCTTCCTGGCTGCCATGAGCTGAGTAGCTTTCTTCACCATGATGTTGGGCCTCACCTCAGGCCCAGAGCAATGGAGTCAGCCAGCCACGGACTGAGCCTCTGAAACTTGAGACAAAATGAACTTTTCCTCCTCTGAGTTGTTTTTGCTGGGTATTTTGGTCAGTGATGAAAGGCTGACTCACTCTGAGGTGGTCTCAACATAGGTAAACTCAGCCATCTAATGTTTCTGGGCGTTAAGTCCCCAGGCAAGGAGAGAGGGAGGCCTCAGGGGAACCCAGCGCAGCCCCTGCCTTGCTCCCCGGACTTCCAGCCTCCAGAACCGTGAGAAAATAATCACGTGGTGTTTGCTCCTCCCAGTCGTGGATGTTTTGTTACGGCAGCCCGAGCTGACTGTTGCAAGGTTCCAGGAGCCATTGGAGGCAGCTGCCAGCTCTGTCAGCTCTGAGCCTGTGGGCAGCTGGCAGGGCTGGGTCCCTGCTGGAATATCAGCTCCAGGAGCACACGCTGGGCCGTCTTTTACCTGATGCCGCTCTACCGGCTCCTCGCGGGCTATGGGGCTTCTTCAGCAGACCCTCGTCCCGCTTAGGGGCTGGGGAGGTCAGTGAGGGTGAGGAGAGAGAACAGGGCGAGGTCAGGGCATGGGAGGAAACCTGAGGGCATTGCAGGGGAGTGTTTAAGAGCCTGGACGGGCCAGAGCCCGGCTCTCACAGTGAATCCCGGGCCTCCTGTGGGTGCCCAAGAGCCCTTCGGGGTCCCACAGGGGCCTCCCCTTTCCACCTGCAAATCTGCGTGAGGCTGGGTTTTCTAAAGACAATTTAACCAAAATAATGTTTTGCAGATTGAGTCAAGAAACAGAGAATATGGAACCCGGCTGCCCTTCACCAAGCCAGACACCAGAGACTCTCAAAACCCAAGCAAGGCTGCTCCTCTCACCCAGTTTCTGTTTGGAAAACATGGCTGGTCTGTAGGGAATGCATTATTGATGTGATCATGCCATGGCTCATTGCTATTGAGTTAATAAATACCCTTCAAATGTCTGTCTTGATCTATAGTGTGGTATACATCCAAGTTATCACCCACAAAAACAGGAGCGTCTTGGGGTCTTCGATAATTTTTAAAGGTGTAAAGAGACCAAAGAAGTCTGAGGACTGTTCAGATGAAATACAGATGATATGTTGCTAGGGGACCAAGGGAGGTTCTGAAACGTGAGTCGGGTTCACGCAGCCGGCTGCGTGGACGCCACAGTGATCCTGCACTGCTTTAGGTGGGTAGGAAGGGGTCACCCAGAGTTTCCACACAAGGAAAAGATTTGAAGGGAGCTGAGTTTCAGGAAAAAGTGGTGGGGACACAAGCAGAGAGAGAGGCCAGCTCCTTACTACAGGCAGGATGGGAAGAGACCAGGGCCCACCAGGACGTGTCCATTTGGTGGCTCCAGGGCAGCAGAGCTCAATGCCAGGAAGTCTGTGGGGGTCTGAGAGGGCAGGCCCCTGTCACCAGCTCGTGGCTCTAAGCTCGAGATTTGAGGATTCCTGAAGGGAATCCTGGGAAGAAGTTCCCATGAAGAGTTGCTGCCTGATGTCCCCTAGTTTAGGGACAGAAGTCCAGCTCTCAGGAAAGGGAAGCTGTAGGCCTGGAAGGAACAGAGTCATTGAGAACAGGAAAGAGAAGGAATGAAGGTGTGTTTTGTGTCTGTTAGCACTGACCTGTTGGATTGCCGAGAGAGTACCGTCCAGTCGCACGCAAGAGTTTAGAGTGATTGCTTTTGGCCCGAAGTCAGTTATTGAGTGGCCAAGAGAAGATTTAAGTCCCGACTCTTGGTTATTGAAGTCGAGAGGTCTTGCCCTGGGACGCCTTTCTCTCTGCTCTCAGGGAGATGAGCTGAACAGGAACCCAGGACAAAACCAGGCAGATCTTGTGGCAAATCCAGTGGCGACCTACTTACTGTAGGTCGGCCCCAAGGTGACAGGATGGTGCTCCAATCTGTCTCTGCTCGGGAGGTGGCAGGGGAACCTAACCAGCCGGGTAAGGAGGGCTGACTGGCTGTCCCAGGGCACCCCTGGTGTTCTGGACTGAGCGCAGTTCCCCAGGATTCTGGCCTGCCCTGCAGCCGAGGCCGTCCTCCCTCACTCTTCCTCTAGGCCGCCAGGCCCTGTTCTCATTCTTCAGGCTCTGCTGTGGGAGACTTGATGGCACCAGGTTCTCAAGGTCCGTTTAGGTCAGGCCCAGGGTTCTGTACATGCATCCTGATAATCAGCTTGTGCAGAGGCAGGGAGGTTGCTGTCTCATGGCTTGATCAGGAATGAGGTGCCACCCTGGACATCCACCACCGTGAGCAGAGGTGCACGTCCGGCTGCCTGCTGGACGTTGTGTCCGGGTGTCTCATGGCTCAGATTGCACACGTCTAAAGGGAAGCCCTGACCACCCCATTCTGTTCACCTCTACTGCCCTCTGTGAACACCCAAGTCCGATGGCTATCTGCCCAGCCCTCCCCATCTCCATGCACCTACTGCTTGAAGCCAACTTATCCTTCCCTCATGGCCATACCCCTCAGCAGTGGGTCCTGCAGGATCTGTCTCCATGGGCAGCTCCTCATGCCTCTGTCTCCCCCATGGCTGCCATCGCACTCATCTAGATTCCGTCATGTCTCAGTTACTTCACAACAATGGCACCCCCACTGGTTTTCCTGTCTCTGATCCTGTCCCTCTCAGACCTGTTTTGTCACACGGATGAGCCTCTTAGAATAGGAATTAGATTGCGCCAGTGCTTTGCTTCAAACCATTCTAAGGCACTTGTAGCATCGTGTCAAACAGCTTGCCCACCACATTCCTTCCACACACACGTGCAGAGCTCCCTGACTTCCAGGGATTTGACTTAATGGCTTTTCAACTCTTCAATGTTGCAAAAGCAACACACAAATAGAAACCGCACTTGGAGCCTTGGATTTGATCTTTCACGGGGCTGACCACGTGGCACGAGGCTCTCTGGCAGTGTGAGCCATGGCTCCAGTTGGCTGCGGTGGAGATCAGACTTCCAAAGCTCCAGGGCTGCTGTGTGGCTCTGCCTCGGGGCTCAGTAGGTTGGTGTCTCCGGGGCGTGCCCAGCTTGCAGTGGGTTCACCAGGCTTCGTGCCAACGTGAGCTGAAGAGCACCTGCATCTGAATCTGTGGTTCTCTTTGCCTAGAACCTTCTCACCTTCATTTTTTTAAAATGGCGACTTCTTCTTCACATCTTAGGACTCAGTTCCAATATTCCTTCCTCAAGGTGGTCTTCTGACCAACATTCTCAAAATGCCCATGCCCCCCTCAGTTATTCCCTATCATCCCACCAAAGCCATTTCTTTCTAGTTTTTCATTACCTGGAATTATCTATTTATTTTGCAGGGTCTATTTTCCACCCCAACTGGAGTGTACGTTCTTTGACTGGAAGGACTTTTCACGTGTCTGATGCCCTCCATGGTCTCCGACACACAGCCAACAGTGCCATGAATACTTGTGGAAATAATGAATCCGTAGAAGAATGAATCAGAGGTAACTAGCTTGCCGTGAGTTGTCGGGAGTGGTGAATTGAGTGGCAGTCTCTGATTGTCCAGTGTCAGGACCACACCTGGGCTGGGAACTCCTTGTGCAAAGGCAGGAGGTGAGACTGCCCAGTTGCTACGGTGATGCCCTGTTCAAAGGAGGTTTTGTCCTTGCCCCAGGACTGTCAGTCTTGACCCTGAGTTCAGACACCAGCTGCCAGGGGTAGAGAATTATGAACACAGAAAGATAATTATAACTGGGCTTTGTCCTTCAGCCTGCTTGATTTGAAGAAACCTTTCACAGAAAACCCTTTTGATGCTAAAGCCTATACAGTGATGTGCTGATCTGACTCTGGGTGGTTCATCCCTCATCAGGGGATGAAGAACCACCGGGCCCCAGCTTTTTCTCTCTTTCTGTGTCTGTTTGTCTCTTCTTCATCCCCCGTCGCCCCCTGCTGGTTTCTGCAGGTTGCAGCAGGGCAGAGGAGGGCACTGCAGGGGTCTAGAGGGACTTGGGAAGCTGAGCATCCAGGCTGTTCTGCAGGAGCTGGGAGCCTCAGGCTGCCCACCAGTCCTTCTGGGCAAGTTTCACTGGGTCTGAAACCTGGAGAGGGCAGGCCCAGCTCAGAGCTCAGAGCACAGGCAGGCAGGGGCAGCAGTTTGATCTGCACCATTTTTCCGGTAGCTTCTCTGCTTCGTGTCAGTCCTGGTGGACAGCTTGGTGGCCAACCGGCCCCTTCTTCCTTCATTCTCAATCTGTCTCCCCCCCCACACCCGAGGCACCTCCAGCTGTTAGTTCGTGAGAAGCTCAGAGGGAAGTACCTTCTGGAGGATTCTCTGGGGTCAGACACCAGGCTCTGCTTCCTGCTCCAGGTTCTGACAGAACTTTCCTCCAATGTGACGTCAGACACCCCTCACCAGTTTTAGGAACCAAAACACCTTCAAGGGGCATCTGTCGGACCAAAGGGATTGCAAGAGCACCTGGAAAGTTGTTTTCCAGATCATCTGAGTCTAGAAACCCCTGACAATGACCTTGGGGAGACCCAGGATCTGGCCTCCAAGGGCAAAGCTTGCCTGACCCCCCTGGGGTGAGCACCCTTCCACCGTGCGTGGCAAGTGTGAAGTCGGGGCTCCCAGGAAGGCAGAGCAGGGCAGGTGGAGGGCCTGGCCTCTCCTCTCGGTGGCTTTTCTCTGGCTCTGTTCTTAGCTGTCCTTCAGAATCTGCCCAGAGCCCACTTAATGAGCAGCAGACGGCCTCCCCAGCCTGAGCTCAAGTTTCCTTTCGCCTCTGGCAATTTCACCTGCTGGGTTCCCCTGGCTGGAGCCCAGGTAGAAACTAGTGTAAGTCAGAAAAGTTTAATTGGGCCCCAAATGTGATTAACCAAGACCCGCTTAAATATGCTGTGCTGGTGTTTGGCATGCCACAAATTCTAGCATTACCCAGGGGGTCCTAAAAACCATTCAGCTTTTAATGTTCCTTGCCTGGTTTACTCGAGTTGGAATTTAAATCAAAGGGTAACATCTATATTGGGGATAACTTCATAGTTTATCTTAATATAATGGTTAATAAATGTCATGTTTTAAAGGGACATTTTAAAAACAATGGTTTTAACAGTGTTATATACTTTTAAGGGGATCTGGGAAGCAGTTGACTAAATCTGATACAATGTAATTTTAGACATTATAAAAATAGAGCTGCAAGAATGGGAAAGATAAGACTCAAGGGCCCTGAACCAGAGCCCATTCAAATACTGGGAGGTTTGCAGAAATCAAAACAGAGCCTCCAGGTCCTCTCACTGAGCTCCTCACACAACCCATTGACAACAGGGCCCATCACCTTTAAACTGGAGAGAAGTGGAAGACAGGCTCAGTAGCCTTCAATAAACCAAAATATCTAGTGTAGCTTTTGGGACAAGACCCTTTTCTGACTTGGTTACATGACACGGAGGGAGACTCCAGCAGCCAGAACAAGGGAAACAGCATGTGGAGGTGTCTTAGTCAGTTTTCTATTCCTATAACAAAATGCCTGTGGCTGGGTAATTTATACCAATCAAAGTTTATTTGGTTTATGATTTGGAGGCTGGGAAGCCCAAAAACATGGCTCTGAGCCTGGCGAGGGCCTTTGTATGGCATTATGGTGGGGGGGCATCTCATGGAGAGACAGGGCACGGGTGCCAGGTTGGGTCTCTCTTTTCCTACAGAGGGTGTCATGCAGGCTCCACCCTCATGACCTCATCTGATCCTAAGTACCTTCCAAAGACCCCACCTCCAAAGGCAATAAACATATGCATTTGGAGATGAATGTCTAGTATGTGAGTCTTGGAGGACAGGTTCAGGCCACAGCATTGGCCGCAATCCCTGATCCTGCCTGTGCCTCTGACGTGACCCCACAGGGCTTGCTGTTCTTCATCTGTGAAAGGAGGGGTTGTGCTGAGACAGCCTCTTGTGATTTCTGGCTTTGAGATTTCACTTCCTTGACCTCCCATGGCGCCTTGTCCTTGCGGGGCCTGCGGTGCTCAG